ATTTTCTTTTCAAATTTTCCTATTTGTTGCATAATAAAATGACTATCATAACCTCTTAAATTGTGAAATATAACAGGAATTTGCGTTGTCAGTATAAAATTAATATTACACTCCGAGTGAGCACTTCCCCTAAATTTTCCCGTTATATGGCAATGGTCACGAACTCGATATCATCTTTTCATATTCTTTTCCGCAGATATTACAAGAAGTTTGCTTTTTGAATAACGCCTCATCTTCTTTTGTCATTTTTAAAGGTTGTTAAAAATATGCTTTCAAAGTGTCCATACAAATATTCCTCTTCCTTAAGAATAGCTTTAATAAATTTCATAAACTGCATTTGCGTCCTCTGTAAACTGAGTTGGTCTAGTATGTTTATCGTCGTAACAACAAACCAATTTTATAACCATATCCACAGTCTATATGCTCTTTGATATGGTTCAGTAAATGAGGATTTGGATGATGGTAAAGCAGTAGTACTTTTCGAGTTATAGACTCAAAAATCAGCATAAATTACAAAGGTGCCAATAATTGTTTTGTGATAATTTTTGAACTTAACTTGTGATCCCTTTTCTGGCATTGTAATAGCTTGAGTTACCATTAATAGCTAAACAGTTTGGCCTATGTTCATTTAATATTCTTTCCTTGGAAAAGCATTGTAGGCAGGATTTACAGAAATGTTTTTCGATTGGCATGTTTTGTTTTGTTAAAGAGTAATCGATTAAATCTTTTATCCAAACATAATGCGTTGTTTTACTTTTGAAAGTAATAACATATCGCACTTGTCTGAATAATTATATCTGGATATGTATAACGGAAATACTTTTTTTTCTTCGCTAACCAAATATATTAAATGAAATATTATTCCGGATTTCTATTTGCGGTACTTTGATTTATTTGACAGGGAATTTTATTTCAGCTATAATCTAATCATCTAACATGTCCTCATATAATATACTAACCCTTTCAGAATGTGTAGTTACAGGGAATTTATTAGCTAAATGACACCATCTAAAAACATTCTTTATCTTATTTTTTATATTAATTAATCCTTTCTTTGCTTCTGTAATTCTTTGGTAATTCAAAGTAAACTTGAAGCAGAAAGAGGTGTGTATTTATATCTGTGATATAATGTGCATCAACTGATGTCTATTCTCCATCACTACCTTCTGCGAATCCACATTACCATCTTATTTATTATTTCATCAAAGTCATGTCTTAAAGTGTCATTTAATTCAGATTTTATCTATGATAATTTGAAGGTTTTGAATGAAAATAAGCTGATTTGTAAATTATATCTTCTTGACTATTTTTCGCAAAAGTTATTTTTAAAGAACATTTATTTTATGCCTTTTAATTGCGAATTCTAAACTGAAAGTAATTCAAAAGCATCTTTTAAAGTGAAATAAAGTTATTTTTCGGATCATATTTATATGAAATTTTAATTTCAAATTTCTTAAAATATTGATTTGGAGATCGCTCAATTTCCATATCTATATTTTTAGTATTAGAAAATATCTTTAAGCACAATCTTTACGCATATCTAAACTTATATCTTAAAAGAAGAACAAAATAAAGAAACTTTTTATTATAAAGTAGTGCGTTTAATAACGAAATCTTTTTTTTTCTAAATAAGATTATATAAAGAGATGGTTGAATACAATAACATTAACTTATATAGTAAATTGTTTTTTAACATATTAGCGATGAGTTTTACTTTATCGACGAAGTGTTAAGAGTAAAACGATATGAGGAAAAAAATAAAAATGAATAAAGACTTTAAAAAGGGATAGAAAAAGCTATTAATTATTGTAAAGAAATTATAAAGCTCTTGTAAACAAAAGAAGGTCGAAATCGGTATAGATAAGAAAGAATGACTCCTATATTAACGGAGATACTTGATAGCAGCGAAATAAATATAGCCGAAATGTCATGATAACCAAAGAACAATTTTAGCTTATGCAAACGTTATTACCGATTAAAGAGATATGTAAGAAATGCCAAAGCCCGCCTTAAAAGGATATGATGATTTTGAAACACAATTAAACAATAGTATTGAATTATATTCTCGATATTTAGAAAGTTTTAAAGCGCGAGGATTAAGTTGCGAGGCTAGTTTATTCATTTTTTATTCTATTATATTATTATATATAATGGAACACAAAATAGTTTTAAGCATTTTAGTATTAGAAAATATCTTTAAGCATATCTAAACTTATATTTAAAAATATGCCCATTAATTTTTGCTGTTCAGTCTTTACTCTGTTTAAATTGTTACAGCACATTGATATTAAACCAGGATTGACACCAAAGATCTTTAGATGCGGCATAAATTGAAGGATATAATGAATCTTCACCATCTCCGTTTGGAGGTATATAAGTTGCTATAACCGTTTAGGTTATTCACGATAATTATTATGATTAGGTCTTGGACAATCGCATAAATATCACTATTTTCCTCTACAGGAAATAAACAACCGCAACTCCATTTCATAAATAGTTTTTTGTTCTAAAAAGGTAAGGCTCTATAATTGTTTCTAATTTAAATCGTATATTTTCTTTTACTTTTTCTTTAGTTAATTTAGTAATATTGGCTCTTAAATGTTTCTATTCTTTCTAACTTTATTAAATAATATTGGTAATTTAAGAGTTCTGATTTTTGTATATAATATGCAAAAAAATCGCATTTGTATCACATACTGTTATTTAATCTATTCATTATATAACATGCTTAAAGAAAAAAACTTCACATTTTTACAACGCACTAGCTATAAAAGATATTTAGAGGTTTCTTTATACCATTTAGCTTAATGATCTTTCATATAAATTTCCAAAGGTGTTGTATAATTTTTATCTTTTTTCTATTTTCTAATAGTTTTGTAAAAGATATCTTCGATAACTTTTTCTGTCCATCATAACTTGTGGAGGTTACCTTCCCAATCCGCGCTTCAGTAATTAATTGTTAACTTTTTGATAATGTAATTTTAAAATAGTTTTTTTGTCTGCAACTTTGAGTTTGTTAGCTAAATATAGTAACTAGCTGAAGGTAAAAGCTCCTACTAAAGCTACAAATATAGGTTATGGCGGGAATAAGTGCAAGTGCAGTTGAACAACCTAAAATACCTTGCTGTTATTGAAGTCCTACGCTTACCCTTCCACAAAATTTATAACTTTTTCTATATGCTGATGCAAGTCTTGTTAAATAATCTATTAGCTTCATCAAGATTTCAATTTGTTTACTCATTATATTATTTCAGCATTTATTATTTTTGGCATCTTTATCCAACTATTGAATTTATCAGAATAACCTTTCCATTTAACTAGTGCTTGTTTTTTTCTTCTAGTCACGCTTTATAACTTTTTCTATTCTAAAAACTTCTTGTTAGTTGGCATCAGTTCTTGTTCATAAAATGAACCCTGGACCAGCTCATTATTTAAATCCCTGATAGTATATGTTCTTGGGTTTGTATTTTGAATTCCATCAATTGTAAATATTTCTTCTGTCCAATTTGTGTATATATCCTTTTTCAAAATGTCTCTTAATTTTACTTAAACGAACACGGTCTCCAAATCTTAAAAATTGTACCATTACTTTTTGATACTTTTCTACATCACCATACTAAATTAAATAAACATTACTTCATATTTAACTTTTTTTGCTCGCTGTTTAGGTGACTTTTTATGACTACTATGCTTGTGTCTTAGTATTTTTCTAACATTATCAGGTTATCATTTAAAGAAAGCATAAGTATATATATAGAGGTAGAAGTAATTTCACATCTATTCGCTTCAGGTATCTATTGAACACGATTCGATAACCACAGCTTGCTCATTAAATTTATGCGTACATGTTAATGATATGTATTTTTAATTAATGAGATGAATTGAAAGGTTATTTATAAAAGTCCTTTTACCATTCAATCAACAACAAATATCTCTGGTTTTCTGCCACCAGAACACTATTTTCATTAAAAGCCTCTGTAACAGAATCACAGTTTTATTTTTATCGAACAGCCCAAGCATACTTGCTAAACACATCAATAACTGTTAATAAAGTATTTTATTCCTTTGTTATCTTTAGAAAAGGCTTGCATATCAACTAAATCAGCAGACCAAGTATCATCTACATCATTTACTATAACTCTCCGTTTTGGAAACTTCCGTTTGATTGGTCTGTGTAATTCATTGGCTAATTTAACGTTCCATGTTACTTCGGGGGTAAGTCGCATGTTGCGCTTATCATGCTTTGCCCCCTTCTTCCGTTTTTTGAATTTCGTGTTTGCCCCAAACCAAGTTTATATTTCATATTTATAACAGGCTTTACTACTAAATTTTTTGCTAGTTTTTCACCAATAGATTTTGATTTAGTTGTCTTTAAATCAGATAACATTTTCTTATCACACTCACTTTTACTTAGATCACTATCGTAACAATAGTCATGATTCATACATACTTCATCTAACTGATTAACGGGTGATCCATTAACCAGTGGGTTACCTGGTCCGCAATAGTTATATCCAGGAAGAGTTAAACCTTTTTTAGGTAACAAAGGTAACATAGCTTTATGAATATCTATTGAACCGCCTTGTTTTACAAACTTAGATTTCAATTTACCGCATGAAGCACACGCGGCTTTTTATCATTAATCTTCCGTTTTTTGTTGTAACATATTGAGGATTTACATTATCGGTGTATGTTCGTTCTTTTAAACAATATATTTGTTTTTGTAAACTCATTTATATATATTTTAATTATAAAAAAGGACTCGTCGGTTCCCGCCTGTCTTATAGTATTCTATTTATGAGTAGTATAGAGTATGATGGTTCCGGGGGTTTTTGGCCTGAGGGTGTTCTTAAATCAATAAAATGGGGTTTTATGTCGAGCTGTCTTACTTTTTGGGTTGATGGGTAAGCTATGTCGAGCTGTCTTACCCTTTGGTTTGATAGATAAACACTTTTTTAGGCTTCAAAGTGTCCCGGAACCATCATACTCTATACTACTAATCTCCGAGATGGCAGTCTTGTGGTGACAATGTTAAAAATACGATGCCGGAAGTTGTTGGGCGATTGTTTGTGGAAGATGCATTCAGGAAAGAAGCAAAGAAAGACGTAAGATAAACTGGCTTGAAATTAAAAAATATATATATATTTATTTTTTTTAACCATGCGCTTCATATGTCAGTTTTACACAATTGAACTTATCGTGGATTTGTCTCGATTTTCAGGGACGGGTCTTTTTGTCACTTTCCAACATTATATTAATATTTTTATAAAAATTACTAGAACAGAACAGAACAGATACCTTATTTTTGATTTGTTTAATTATACGTAGTGATAGAAATAAAAATAACTACAATACACACAGCAATGTTACTTCTTGTTTCATGTTAATATTCTATTTTTTTTTTGTTATTTCCTTTCTTAATGGTTCTTTGTTTCGAATGCCTTGTGCCGCAATGCAATGATAAGATGCAAATAATAAGATAAAATATTTGTAAAAAAGAAACCCTTGTCACGACTACAGAAGACCGATGGGGACATTTCAACTGCAAGTATTTCCGATTTCATCTTTGTGAATTCAAGTTTTGAACTTTACGATTTCAACTTCATAAATTCAAAATTTCATTCATAATTTTAACTTCGTGAAAACACGATTTAAACTTCACGAATTCACGATTTCAACTTGACAAATTCACGATTTCAAATTCGTGAATTCAAGATATCATCATCACGAATTTGAAATATTTAACTTCGTGAATTCACGATTTCATCTTCACATATTCACGATTTCAACATCACGAATTACTTGTCACGACTACGAAAAACCGGTTGGGACATTTCAACTTCAGAAATTTCCGATTTCATCTTTGTAAATTCACGATTTCGACTTCACGAATTCACGATTTCAAGCTCATATATTCAACTTCATGAATTAATGTTTTGAACTTTACGCTTTTAACTTCATATATTCATTACTTCAATATCCTGATTTCAAGTTCTTGAATCACGATTTCAATTTCACGAATTTACGATTTCGACTTCACGAATTTACGATTTCGACTTCACGAATTCACGAATTATATTCATATTTTCAACTTCATGAATTCAAGTTTTGAACTTGACGATTTGAACATTAAAGATCAAGCGTTATATTGCTGAAATTATTATCTATCAGAAACGTATTTTCTTTAAAAAAAAATAGAAAAAAAATAAAAACAACGATATTATTTAACTTTTTATTTTTGACAGGTGTTAGACTTGGTTGGTAAATTGAGGGTATCATTTAAAGGAATGATTGACGACCTACCATGGATGGAGAGTGCCACTAAGCAAGTTGCAAAGGAAAAGGTATGTAGTCAGATATGAGCCGCGTCATGACAAAACCAACACAATGGGTTTGTGACCAGCATGGATCCAGACCAGCCTGCGCATCTGCGCAGTCTGATCAGGATCCATGCTGTTCGCTATCAGTTTCCCTACTTGTAATAGAGTTGGTAAGCGAACAGCATGGTTCCTGATCAGACTGCGCGGATGCGCAGGCTTGTCTAGATCCATGCTGGTCGCAAACGCACTATGTTGGTTTTGTCGGGACGCGGCTCATATTTGGCTTTATACAATTATATCTGATGCGGTATTTACGTAGATTATATACAACAATTATATAGAAGACAATTATCGAAACATGTGAAGAATCTCAATATAAGATCTGATTTAGATTGTTTGCATAAACTTGAAATGGGTTTCTTCTTTAAATAAGTCTTCACGCGTCCGTATTATAATTCAAATAATTCAATGCGCGAAAATATGCATTTTACCCTCTATTGTAAAGCTAACATGATTGTGCTAATGGTGGTGTTGGTAGTGTTCACTCCGGATCACGGCAGTAAGCCACATTGAATTCACCAGAGCACAGTTCAGCCACAGCATCGTTCCTGGACAGGCTGTCAAGCAGTTTACCAGTACTAGTTGCCGTCACTACTTCTGTAGGTAAAGTTTAAATAACCATAGAAAGGATTTCATGATCAATCACAACGAAAGTGACCCGTACCGTCCGGGAATCGAACCTGATCGCCCAGTTTACAGACCAACGCTCTTCCTATTGAGCTAACCGGGCGATAATAACAATTATAATTGCATTGGTGTTTTGCTTTCAGGTTGACATTTTGATTTACTTTTTCTGTAATTTCAGGCAGATTTTATCGAGCCTAGGATAGGCTACTCAGATGTTGTGTATAACGATAGCGCCTTAAATGATATGTATGAAAATGTAAGTGTATTTTTTCTTTATCTTCTATAATTTTGTAGGCGAAAGCATGTGGAACTGGATTAAGTTTTTCTTGTCAGAGATTTGTTGTGTATTTTATTTATGGCTTTAAAGAAATAATTGCTTAGAGCTGTATTGAAGCTAAGGTGTCAGAAAATATACTCAACTTATATGTTGCAAAAGTACTTTTATAGTTACTCGTATCTTCTGATCAGTTTGTTGGTGTTTTCCAGTTCTCCTTTATCCATTACCACTATGCTTAAAAATAAACAAATCAACAACAACAAAACAGAGAAAAGTTTAACGTACAATCATTAGCGATGGGTAGACAATTTGGATTTCCATATTTCCATATACAATGCATAATATAAACGAAGCACACTTTCCTTATATATAATAAAAGCGTTGAGTTGACAATATTATACTGATCATTCATTCACAAGACATTCCAGATATAATTTTTTAACATATACATTAATACTTAGAGAAATATTTGAACACGGGTATTAACTGAAGGTGTAATATTTTGAACAGGTGACTGTATACACGGACGATCCGTTACGGACGCTTATCAGCGCCTCCGAAGCTGCCGTCATTAAACGCCTTTATGATCTCAGAAAAGACGTAGACAAAAATGAGTAAGAAAACAAATCTTTAATATCAACCACATTAAAAGATATATTCCATTATCTATAATCAGAGTGTCTTTTTTTACATAAATTATTTGAAATGACATGTTTACTTATCTATTTACCGTCTCTACTGTATGACTGTTTGAACATATAGATCTCCTTTCTCCATGTAGGACAGAATTTCTTTAAATGGATTGCTTTCAAATTTCATTTGCATTCAGCCAAATTAAATGACAAAATTTTTATTCAACCTTCATCTTATTTGCATGTCACATCGTATTTTTGGTCTTTTCTTTTCTTGACAAATTTATCCACAAATATGTGTCCTTGTTTTTCAGTTGGGAAATGTCTCCTGCAACTGTGAACGCCGGTTACAACCCTGAAACCAACCAGATCAGTATGTGTTGTTTTTTTTACTTATTTAGATACACACCCCTCACAGTGATTACCTCCCTTGCCCGATTGTACTGATAAGGGGAGATCACTGCGTAGAAGATAGATTTAGATATTTCATTATCATTATAAAAACCTCCAATTGTATACTGTCACACCCTCGTAACGTGCACGTCGCAGAGGATCAGAACATAAACAAAACTAAGGGCGGAATACAAAGAGTCTATGTATACTTACTAAGATCAGCTGCCGATGTTCTAAGTAATACTGAAAATAGTTGCCCTTAGAACAGGTGGCGACGAGGGGAAAGGTTAGATGTGTGAGCCCTAAGTTTGAACAGACGGTCTGAACGACAGCGCCCTCTGCTGGCCCTTATAATGGCTCCCTACCACTCCATTACTGTCTCATTTTACTCGGGGGTTAATCTGTTCTAATTCTCTTAAGTCGCTGTACATATACCTACGATTTGACTACAATTATTTTAATTTGGCAAATATTGTATGGTAATTGCACAGATTTATCACCTAAAATTGCTTCAAAATTAACTCTTCTTCAGCATGACGGGGACATGTCCGCGGTCTGTATTCTTTGTGCCTTATTGTGGTCTGATATACCTTTACATAAATTGATATAAATAAATACTTTTATGCTGTGCGAATGAAATATAATGCAAGTTGGAGTAGCACAGGTTTTTCTTTAAAACCGCTACGGTTTCCCTTTAAAACCGTTACGTTGAAGTAGCGTCGGTTTCCCTTGAAAACCGGCACGTGACGTTGATAATGTTGAAGGTACTAAAATATCCACACAAAAATCGCTATGTAAATCCTTCTCGCTACAGTTTAACATGGCTCGGTTCTACTTTAAGTGTAACATGGCTAAAAGACCCTATCTAGACGTGGCGGCATGGCCGGGTGGTTCACGCGTCGGACAAAGTAATCAAATGATTACGCAATCAAATGATTGCTATCCGCATGAGATCAAACCCCGTCAGGGGTAAGTCGTTGTTTCCTTGAGCAAGAAACTTTACACTTACTGCTCAGTACTGGTTGGTTCCAGGAACGGATTCGAAAGTGTGTCTATAAGCTTAAAGCCTCCTGCACAATCGAACTAAAATAAATTTTGTATAAACATAAGACTCTAAATGAACCTTAAACCCATTCTTTTCCTAAAATATTTCTTTACCTTGAGTATATAATACTTATTTTAATGAATACTTGTAATAAAGAAGATGAACTCCTATTTCAAAAGAAGAAAATGTCATTTTTATCTACAATTTGAACTGATTCTTTTCAGCGTTCCCCGCCGCAATTCTTCAGCCACCGTTTTATTCCCACGACCAGCCAGCGTAAGTCTTTCATAATAATAATAAAAGAAATAATAAAAATAAAAGAAAAATAAAAATAATAATAATTAATGATAATAATATCAATAGTCGCCTTGTCTATTTATTTATTTTTTCAACTTTAGTTTTGCTCTTTAAAATAGTTGCAATTGAATCTTTAAAAATACTTTTGTCTTCTGTCTTACATTTGTCAAAACATTTTATAACTTTCAGTTGTTATCTATATTTATAATAATTGAGAAAGAAATACATTGTCAATTGGAGCACCTCGGCCGACTTCAATAAGTATTTCCTACGAAGCTGCCAGAGAAAGCCGAGTTGTTACGATTGATACGATGCAATAATATTACGTCATGATTATTATCGTTTAACATTTTATACAGGTATCTCAATTATGGCGGCATCGGATATGTCATAGGTCATGAAATAACACATGGTTTTGATGATCAAGGTATGTTTATTAGAGATAAAGGAAAAAAAGGAGCACATTAAGAACATTTCGAAGCATTGTAGGAGCACATTTTGAATATTTCGAATCATTGTATGAGCACATATATAACATATAGAAGCATTGTAGGAGCACATTTATAACATATAGAAGCATTGTAAGTACACTTTTAGAGAATTTAAAAGCATTGCAGGAACACTTATAGATCAATTAGAAGCATTGTATGAACATTTTAAGAACACTTAGAAGCACGGAAGAAACACATTGAGAATATTTAGAAGCATTGTAGGAGCATATTTATAAAAAATTTATAGCATTGTAAGAGCACATAACATTTTGAAGCATTTTGAGAACACTTTTAGAACATTAAGAAGAATTGAATATGCACATTTAGAACATTTAGAACATTTAGTGGCATTGTATGAACAGACATAGATCATTAAGGATGACAATGATGATGATTTTGTTTATGATGATGATTATGTTGACAATGATGATGATAATGTTGATTATGATGATGTCGAGATTTAAGACATTGATAATGATATTGTTTATAATGATGATAATATTTATGATGATGATAATGATGATAATGATAAAAATGATGATGAAAATATTGATAATGATGATGATAATGATTATATTAATGATGACAATAATGACGAAAATGTTGTAATGATGATGATAACGATTATGATGATGATAATGTTGACAATAATTATAATAATGTTTATGATGATGATAATGATGATGACATTGATGATAATGATGACAATGATGATTGTGTTCTATAGTACATCGTAATTTTTTATATTAATTCCATTGTAGGTCGACTCTATGACAAAATTGGTAATTTGCATAGTTGGTGGTCAGACACGGATGCTGCAAAATTTAAAGAACGTGCTCAGTGCATTATTGACCAGTATAGTAATTTTACAGTTCCAGGAACCGGAGGAATGACTGTAAATATATTATGCTTAATTTACTAAGAAAAAAAAGAAGATAATTCATTTTTATAATCATTTAGATATTGAATAAAATATTTTCTTTTTAAATTATGATGAATAAATGAATAAATGCGGACACTGTAACTAAAATGCTAAAAATATTCAGGTTAAAGACGTTTTCTGGAGTTTTCATAATGACACAAGGGCAGATAACACAAAAACGAGATTTAAGATCGCAATTGTTTTTCGCTTAAAATGTTTCTGTTATCATATTCTAACTACATGCCAAGTTTAAAGAAATTCTAAAGAACAGTTTTATTTTTGCCTACATGTGTCTATATGAAAACTCCCGAAAACGTCCTTAATGAAATGCTTAAAAAAACACTTTATTTTCCGTTTTGAATAAGTATATAAATTAAAAATATTATGTATTTATGCCATACCAAAACTAACTACTTTGACCTGTATAAAGAATTTACCAGAATAATATATTTACTGATTTTGTAGTTAAACGGCGTCAACACACAAGGTGAAAATATCGCTGATAATGGAGGAATCAAGGAAAGCTACTATGTAAATATGTTAATCTTTAACCACGCCTTATATATTTCAAATGGGCAAGTCCATCTCTCAATTCGGACTAAACCATTCATAATTATTGGGTAGATTAAAAAAATATCTACGTACTGTAAAGCTTCTAGCTAGCGCAGACAAAGATCATGGTCTGCTGTTGCTGCAAGGATAGATTTAGTTGTCACTAGTGACTTAGGGTCTTAAAATATATTTTTTTACTATACGTTTAAAGGTCCATTATGCCCAAAAATGCAATTGTTTTTATTTCTCAAAAACCCTTTTTTATTTTTGGTGTTGTTTTATAGTTTCCAAAAAGTTGCCATTATGCCAATTGCCTGAACCAACTATTCTTCTGTTGTATTTTGGCAATGATGACAATAAAAGTGACTTATTGTTTCGCATGAAAGTAAAAAAAAAATCTTTTTATATTTTTCTACTTTTATGACAAATTATTTCACATGTTTTAGCACTACTTTCTGCAGGTCCCAATCATCTTACATGCTCTAAAACCATGATTTAAAACATTGAGAAAATTCATGTTTCCCTTTCTAATGAAGTAGAAGTTTATTCGTTTCTGCATCATAGCAGTATGATTTCTAAAATAGTATGAGATCATGGTTTCATAGTGTGTTATCAGGGAACGTGTTTTTATGTTTGACTATGATACAAAAGAGAAAGAGCATCAAAACACTCGGCAATCTGATTTATACTAGGGGGCTACGCCCACCTCGTACAAATCAGATAGGTTCGTGTTTCGATGCTCTTTCTATTACTTACCAACAACACCCATATGTATGATACTTAATACATTGTACTATCAACATAATTATCTATGGTATTGCTGACCTTCCATTATAGACCAATTCACTTTAAGAATCTCTTTTCACAAGAATTAAAGATATTTTTCTCATGATATCATTGTTTTATTATTTGTTTGGGTCGTCTGACCAAACAAATAATGGTAGCGAAATTTCAGACTCTAATGCTGTTAATTGCAAATGCCGAAATTAGTCCGCTTTTTTGAAGCGGTCACTTCCCTTTATATGTAACACTAAGGCCGAAAAGTTCAGGGGAGATCACTGCGTAAATATGTTCACATGACAGGCGGATCAATTTTCAAGCAAAATAATTCCCGAATGGTCGAAGATTTCTAATATTGTTTTATTCTTTATAGATATACATGCTTATAGTAAGCGTCATGGTTATATACACAAGTGTTAAACAACAGTTAGCGTCGTTACAAACCCTAATTTAGAATAATATGGTTTTCTTCAGGCCTTTACCATATAAATTCACCGTGGCCGAGGGGTTTCGGCGCTCGCTTAGGAAGCGAGAGGACTGGAGTTCAAATCCCAGTTAAGGCAACTTATTATTTTTTCAAATTGTTTAAGTCAAATAAATATTGGATTCAATATCAGTGTTGCAATTAGTCTTACATGTATAGCCAATTTACTACAATTAAAACGCTGGAAAGCATTGGTGGCACTATACAAAAACAAATTGTTTTATAATCTCAAAACCTTCACCTTTCTGACATTCTGAGACCCAAACAAATTCAGTGCCTTCTGTGCTTTGATTATTTATGTGATAAAGATGCTAATTATCTCTTAATCTGGTGACATAATGTACACCTTCACGTGATATGATAATTTCTTACTTGACTAGGATTTCTTTTCACGTGATATATAACGAATTCTTGCTTGTTCCATGACCATCTCTTTCACGTGATATATTCGCACATTGTATAGTCAGTGATTTATATATATTTTACTATTGCATGTTATTCTTGTATTCTTTAGTTTCGTATTTTGTTATCTCTAAGTCATTGATTATATTGGTTATGAAGGCAAGAGACTGAAATGACAAAATGAAAATCAAAGAATTTTTAAATAATCATCACACACGCACATTTTCAACTTTCTGATTTGTCAATGTGTGACGTCACCTTTGTGTGTTTGTCATTGATTAATATATCAATTTGCGCAATTATTGTTTAAAATCAATTATTCGTCGTTAAATGATGTATAATACTATATTTAGAATCATGTATATTAGTAGAAATCTCTTTATTGAGTTATCAATTTGGTTGATATTTTACATATGAATTTAGATGGAGGATTTCTTTCAAAACGGAAGATAAGAACACAAAAAGATCCATTTTAGTTAGTTCACAATAGTACTCCCAAACACTTTGACCGACTTGCTTTTCCTTTCGTAGTTAACAAGTCCATCTTAAAGGCTATGTGTACATCTTGTATCAACGGTCAAAGTGTTTGGTGTACAGTATGATATCTGCAAACAAAACGTTCGAAACAGCTTTTAGTTTTAAGACATAAGGAATTCAGGTGAAAATATTTCTTTGGAAAGAACTTATACATGTATATTTTTGTAAAGAGGTGATTACTCTTCTAACAACAGCTCTGGAGAGGTTGCACTGAATGTTGAAGATGTGTGTAACTGCTGGGAGATGCTTTTTAAACTCTGTTCCTTCTAAGAAGGATTTTTTTCCTTCACTGCCTATATAAGACTTAAACAGCAGGTGTCAAGTGCTGTGTGGCAGCTGTAAAAAGTTGCCCCGTACTTCACTTCAGTGTTGTTATATTTTTCTGGTCCTTCGGGATCATTGATGCCAGCACTATTAAGTGTTGAGAATTGAGTACCGCTCAAGCCGGTGCTAGGGGGCGTGAGGGATGTTGCACATATTCATTATCTCTCATGTACAGACTCAATCAAACCGAGTCTGCAATTCTCTTGTAATTTTGTTGTGATTAATGCTTCTGAGGGATCACTTTGTCTCCAGATGTTTATACTTCACAACAGCAGGTGTCAAGTGCTGTGTGGCAGCTGTAAAAAGTTGCCCCGTACTTCACTTTAATGTTGTTATATTTTTCTGGTCCCCTGGGATCATTGATGCCAGCACTATTAAGTGTTGAGAATAGAGTACCGCTCAAGCCGGTGCTAGGGGGCGTGAGGGATGTTGCACATATTCATTATCTCTCATGTACAGACTCAATCAAACCGAGTCTGCAATTCTCTTGTAATTTTGTTGTGATTAATGCTTCCGAGGGATCACTTTGTTTCCAGATTTTTATAGATCATTACAAGTATACACAAGAAAAGCATTGATGCAAAGCATCAAAGGGCGTCCAAGCAAGAAATGCAGCAAGTGAAGATGAACTAGTAAACATCTGTAAATCAGATATTCTTATAAACTTTTCAATGGTTAATTGGTTTTTACCAGAATTGTATAATATTTATGAATGGCCGGACGAAAGACATAATGTGTTTAAATTTCATTTCCTGCAAAATTCTCCAGTTCGTTATTTATTACCATAGCTTGACACGGATGACCGTTTCGTTAAACTAAAACTACTTCTATAAAAAGATTTCAGACTTTTACAATGAGAAAGTCATCATTCTATTTATAGGTACAGCAATACATAATAACCCACGGTGTACTATGAAAAAAACCGAAGATTAATTGACGGATAAGATAATTTCATTTGAATATGTTTGCATTGTGAAATTCTCCAGTTCGCTATTCATTGTACATATCGCAAAATTTCATGTTTGATAATCAAACACCCTCTTACCAATCGGAATGATCGGCTATTATGATATAAACGCAAAGACCCGAGCAGTTGCAATTGCCCTTTCACAAAATCTGATTTCATTCCATAAGGGGCGTCGCGCTTCGGCGTGGACGCTAAAAATGTGGTATATACGGCCACAGGTAAATTATTTTTAAAGTGGATTGGTCTACAATGAGGACATTTTCCATAAGTATTTCAAATATTAAAAAAATAGAAGTGTATCATTTGAATATTCTGATGAAATTTTATGATGAAGTTTAAAAGCGATTTAGTATGATCATTTTTTTATGATGAAGGATGCTTTTTTGTTCTAGTGTTTTATTTTTATTATTGTTATTATTTTTTATATATTGACATGTTATATTGGACCTTAAAGCTGCATTAAATAAATTTCTTGAAAAAAGAAATAGCTATATTTCGTTAATTAAATATGTTTCATATCGACTCCCGTTCTTATTTTGTTGTCCAAGCAAGCAAGCGAGTTTTATAAGCCCAAAATTCTACAACCTCATTGTGGCGAAATCGGAAGTGTTTCTATTTGCATGAGAAACTCATGAGAAACTCCGCCTTTGGGTCATTCGTACCACAGGAACTTGAAATTCTATCAAATAACCAATATTAATTATAATATCCAAATATACCCCCTATACTATAAAAAGTGTTTTTTTATAGTATAGGGGGTATATTTGGATATTATAATTAATATTGGTTATTTGATAGAATTTCAAGTTCCTGTGTTCGTACTGTTCGAATTGGCTATTCCTTTCATTATCTGTTTACATCAATATTGACAAAATGGGGTGTCGATATCTTACATAAAATCATACTACTTATCGCCTAAATCTTTATCCACCTAATCCATCACTCATTTTTAATGAGTTAAGCATAATAGTGTGGTGGTAGAGTGTTCGCTCTGATAGTGTGGTGATCCTGGTTCGAATCCTGGTAAAGGTTTTTTTTCTATTTCTTTAACTTTTTGTTTTAAGTTCTTTTCTTTACAAAGTACTGGATTTTAGTTCCACGTGAATTTCATTCACACAACTCTATTTGAGAACATTTAGTTATAAACACATTCGCATTCAACATATTAAGTTTAAGACAATACAGTCGTGATTAGGGTAACAAATGAGCAATGGAATAAAAAAATATATTATACAAATGACTCAAATTTTTAAAAATGTGTTGAATAGAATTCGGGGTTTCCAACAGAATAACATTGATAATACTATTTAATCTGTTTAATGACAGTTAAAAATCAAATACATTCAATTTTGCTTAACCGTCATAAGTTTAACTTTAAATTGTGCAAAACGTTATAAAAGAGAAAATGAAAAGTTTAATGACACTATAAAATGTATACTGA